CTTATTCTTAACATCCTATCTAATAAAAGAGTAATATGCAAATTAACCATCACTCCACTACACCCACAAGCCAGGGGCAGGATCTTTGTAGCCTTGAGTGGAAGCCGCCTAAGCTTCCACAAAAGGCTACAAAGTTTCAATTATAGAAGGTAAACAAATCCAAACAGAAATGGCTGCTGCCACAGAGCAAGCAGGAGGCTTGGCTCTGCTCCAGGCTACAAAGATTCAATTGTAGAAGGTAAATAAATCCCAGATACCAGAGCCTCCGCTTGGGTTTCCGGGGGGCATTGCTGGCCTGCAAACCACCACAGGCCCCTCACTCAGGCTGACCCACTCCCCAAGGGAACCCCACCCTGATCTGGGGCACCCTTCAGGGCAAACCAGCTGGCCTCACCCATACACCAGGCCTCTATCCTATCTAATAAAAGAGTAATATGCAGATTGACCAGCACTCCAACACACAATAGCTGCCCTCATGTGGACAAAGATCCTGCTCCTATGTGTATACAAGATGGCCTCCACAAGATGGCCAGCAGGGGATGGCAGTTGAGAGGGACTAGGCCTGCAAGAGAGGGTAGTTGCAGGTGATCAACCCTGCAGGGGAGGGCAGTTAGGGGTGACAAGGCTGGCAGGGGAGGGAAGTTGGGGGTAAACAGGGTGGCAGGGGAGCAGTTAGACATAAATCAGGCTGTCAGGGGAGTGGTTAGGGGGTGATCAGGCTGGCAGGCAGAAGGGGTTAGGGGCAATCAGGAAGACAGGCAGGAGAACAGTTGGGAACCAGCAGTCCTGGATTGTGAGAGGGATGTCCAATTGCTTTCAAGGGGTCCCAGATTGGAGAGGATGCAGGCTGGGCTGAAGGACAAACACCCATGTCTCTCCCCCCCCCCCCCCCCCGCCCTGTGCACAAATTTTGTGCACCAGGCCTCTAGTTTTATAATAAATGTAATCATAAAATATGTGGTCCTTTGGGACTGGATTATTTCCTTAATGTAGTGGTTTTCTGGTTCATCCATGCATGGCATGTGCCAGTACTTCATCCCTTTTTATGGCTGAAAAATGTTCTATTATATAAACCCATTACATTCATTTACAAGTAATGCTGCTATGAATATTCATGTCCAGGTTTCTGTTTGAGCACCTGCTTTAATTCTTTGGGGTATACACTTAGGAGTGGAATTGCTCACAGGGAAGTTGTGTCTACCTCACTGAGAAATCTCCCAGCTGCTCTCCACAGCAACCACACCGTTCTCATGTCTACCGGCAATGCCTGGGGTGCCACGTGCTGGCCAGGACTTGTTATTTCGGTTGTTTTTGTTTTGTTTTGTTTTGTTTTAATTTCCAGCCAGTCTAGTGGGTGTGAAGTGATATCTCAGTATGGTTTTATTTGGATCTCCCTGATGACTAATGATGTTGAGCACACTTTGTGTGTGTGTGTGTTTATTGGCCATTTGTATGCCTTCTTTGGAGAAATATCCATGCAAGTTTTTGTGCTCATTTAAAAATTGGGTTCCTTCCACCTGGACGTGGGGCTTTTGCTGCCATGGCATCATGGGACGATGGCATTTTTCTCCTTTCTGCTGTCCCCTCATTTCTGGAGCTCCCGCATGGCACCCGGATCTAAGAATTAAAGATAAATTTGCTGTGTGGCTGGGCTTTCTTACTGCTTGCTCTTCTTACTTTAATTATTTCTGCTTTAATTATTTCATGGCTAACTCATTTAAATTTCCCCAAGTTTACCTGGAAGAAGAAAAGAAGAATGAGAAGAGGTGAAAGCTGGTGGGAAATACAGCAAGAGGCCCAGGGTGAACTGGCCAGCAGACACCCCGACAATGTTCTGAAACCTCTCCAGGGAAGGGGCCAGCCAGCAAAACTGGATAGGGCTGTCAGCTGCCTGAGCCCCTGAGTCAGGCAATGGTCACACACCCGAGGGGGACAAGCTGGTGCTCACACCTGGTGGAGCAGCAGAAGGAATGGCACTCCTCCGCCTTTTCCCCACGGTTCCCCACCGACTCACCCAAGAACCTCCCCAGGCAGCTGACGAAGCGGCCACCGGCTCTCCTGGGTGCAGGGGACTGTCCTGGGGGGAGGGCCTAAGCCTTGCCGCTCACAGGTCTTGTCCGATGGGGTGATGGAAACGGGGCAGCACAGCCCGGGGCAGCCTTCCTGCTTCCTTTCCCAGGAGGAAAGGAAGTGGAGGGAGGCCGGTCCCCACAGGATGAGGAGCGGCAGCGGATACTGTACCTATGTGGGCGAGCAAGAGCAGAGCAACTAGTTAAGAAATGAGAACTACCCATCCTACATACAGTCAGTTATGCCATGCCTTGCAGGATAATAAAGGATTCACTGTAAAGTCACACCACGCCTTGATTGAGCTCAAGGCAGTAAACACTTTAATATTTATAGTGATGGGAATATATGGACATAAATGGTTAAGAAAGGAGTGCTCTCTTTAGGCGTGATTATAATAATATTTGGAATGTGCCATTTTATAACATACCAGAGAACTGGATAAAAGTATCTACCAGAAAAATAATTTACATTTTTCCTAACTGACATCATTTATGTTGGAAGATAAGGTCATATGACTTTGGCTTCTGCCTCTTCAATCCATTTTACCACACTATGATAATTTCAAAATTCAGCCAAACTCCTTCAAAGTCTTGTAAAGAAAAATGTTTATTCTGCCGTATTTTTCAAAGTTGAACTTTTATTGCTTCTCGGCCTTTTGGCTAAGATCCATTGTGGAAGTTGAACTTTCAAAGCTCTGTAAGCTTTAAAGTCCTTTTTGATAGGCTTGCATTGTTTGCTTAACTAATGTTTGAGATTTATATAAGTTCCAGGTGACCAATATTTAAGAAACAAAGCAATGCAAACATTTTTTTTATTTATAATTGGGATACTTGTCTTTTTTCCTGTTGAGTTGTAAGAGTTCTATATTTTCCTGACTATTCTTGCATCTGCATTTCTCACCACTTGAATCTTAGTATTTCTTCATTGAGAACTGTCAGCACATTTTATACAGCTTCAAAGCAAAAAAGCACACAAAAAACCTCAGCCAGTCCATTGGGTTCTGCAGGGGGAATCCTCCCCAAGCATTTCCCTTTTCAATGCCCAAACAGACGAGGCTACGGATATCGGATATCGTGAAGCTGATGTAAGCGCTACTGTGTGCGAAGAGGAGTGGGTTCCAGTGAGTGCTCCTGTAGGCTCGGGATGGGAGTAGTTAATTACTCTCTGGCCGCATCCACTCCAAGTGGCGCTGACACAGAGATTATAGCTGTGGAGGCTCTTTCCAAGGTCAGCATCCCACGCTGGCCTGAGGTGATTATTGCAATGTCCCAGGGACCCGTACCCCCCCTGGTTCAGAACCTCACCCCAACTGCACTCCCAGCCTGATCACAGCGTTCCGTGTGTGTGTGTGTGTGTGTGTGTGTGTGTGTGTGCGCGCGCGTGAGAGAGAGAGAGAGAGAGAGAGGGGGAACCAAGCATTCCTTCTGCCAGTTGCTTAATCCTTGGAGTACCAGGAAGAGAAGCAAGCACTTCTTAGATCAATATTTTCAAGGCTTCTCTGATGCAAGTCTCTGCCTGGGGCTGGAGCTTCAATTGTTTCTCCAGCTTTTCTCTCTCCGGGGCGGATATGAACTTGAACCCTTGTAATGAGCATAATGAGCGGCCCCTGGGGAATGTGAGACTGTGATGGGGGAGGGGCAGGGGAGGATAAAGTCACACTGGACACCTGGGGCGCTTGCTCTTTTACAGCCAAGTTTCTCAGCCTTTCTGTTTTCATTATTGTCGCCACTTAAGGAACAGTTTTCCCTCTGATTACCCCTTCCTGAGAAATTTTAACATGGCTGACATACTGTATTTGCACCTGTGCCTGATACATAAAGAATAAAAAACTGCCCCTTTGGGGGCCATGTGGTTCTCTCTCATGCTTTACAATAGCTCACATCTGGCTCTCTGGGCAGCCTCCGCCGCATGAAAGCAGGAAAACACCTAGCCGGTGTGGCCCAGTGGACAGAGCGGCAGCCTGTGGACTGAAGGGTCAGGGGCACGTGCATGGATTGTAGGCTGGGTCCCCAGTAGGGGGCGTGCAGGAAGCAGCCCATCAATGATTCTCTCTCATCATTGATGTTTCTACCTCTCTCTCTCTTCCTCTCTGAAATCAATAAGTATATGCATATATATTTTTTTAAAAGCAGGGACACAGTTTAGCAGGTGCTGTGGAGTGTGTGTGCTAATGCAAGCGAGCGCTTGGCACAAGCGGTGTGCTTGAAGCCTGCGAGCCCACGGCCAGAGGTCTGATCAGCCCCGGGCTGGGGCGTCTACCAGAGCCCTGGCTCAGAGGGCGTGGCGGGCTGGGTGGGCGCTGCACCCCAGGACAGCGCCCCGGGCTCCGGGCTCCATTTGAACTTGGCAGCTGCTCCCAGCTGCAGCAGCGAGGCCGAGAGGGGCCAGACTCCGGCCTCTGGGGAGAGAGGGACTCTGGTCTGGTTCAGTCTCCTGATTGGAAAGCACCGGCTCATCCAGCAGCAGCCGCGTGTGCGGACCAGACAGGAGGCAGCCAGTGCCTGGCTGGGCTGCGATGCAAGTGCCAAGTGCAGGGCTCCTTCCACTCAGCCCTGCGCCCCCTCTGGCCCGGGGCCCTCCCCTGCCCCCCTCTGGGAGTCCGTGACACCGCTCCCGCTCCCCCTGCCTGGGGAGGGGCCAGGCCGGCCGTGCGGACTGGACCTACCGGCTCCGCTCCCCCCGCCCAGAGGGGCCTGTGTTACCCCGGCCCTACTCGCGGCCCCGGGAGACGGGGCTGGGAGGGCTGGGCCCGCGGAGGCGGGCGGGAGGGGCGGGGCGGGCGGGGGGACCGGAGGGCGGGGGACCGGCCTCGCCCAGCCTCGCCCGCTGACCGCGCCCCTGGGCCGCCGCCTGTGCCCGCCGCTCGGGCGCTGCTCCGGGGCCGGGCGGGCGGAGGGCGGAGGGCGGAGGGCGGGCCCGGGGCCGGAGCCGGAGCCCCGCCTGGCGGTGGCCTTCGGCCGGGCCGCGGCCGCGCTGGCGGAGGACTCGGCGGCGCCATGGGCTCGGGCGGCTCGCGCGCGGCGCAGGTGCCGGACGCGGAGCGCATTCGGCGGGAGACGGGCTGTGAGCGCCGGGCTGCGGCGGGCGGGCTCCCGGCTGGGCACCAGGCTCCCCGGCCGGAGGCGAGGGGGCGGCGGGGTCCGCGGGGGCGCGGGCCGGGGAGCCTCCGGGGGCGCGCGCCGCCTCCAGCCTCCCGCCGCCCGGGTCCGAGCAGCGCGCGCCCTCCGGCCGCCCCCGAGCTCTGGGGGGCGCAGGGGGCTCACCCTGTCCCTTCCCGCCCGCAGTCTCGCAGGCCACCCTGCTCCGCCTCTACCACCGGTTCCGGGCCCTGGACAGTAACAAGAAGGGCTATCTGAGGTGAGGGGTGACCTGTGACCTCCGGTGCCCCGCTGACCCTCCGTCTCCATCCTCCCTCCCTCCTCACTTTGAACCTCCTTTCCAGCCGCATGGACCTGCAGCAGATCGGGGCCCTGGCCGTGAACCCCCTGGGGGATCGCATTATAGACAGCTTCTTCCCTGATGGGTGAGGGGAGATGGAGGGAAAAGCTTGTGTGGCACTGTGGGGGGAGATGGGTGGGGAGATTGGGGGCGGGGGGGAGATTGGGTGGGGAGATTGGATGGGGAGAGAATGGATGAGGGAGATTGGGTGGGGGAGAATGGGTGGGGAGAATGGGTGGGGAGAATTGTTGGAGAATGAGTGAGGGAAAGTGGGTGGGGAGATTGGGTGAGGGAGATTGGAAGGGGAGATTGGGGGGGGAGAATGGGTGGGGGAGAATGAGTGAGGGAAATTGGGTGGGGAGATTGGGTGGGGAGATTGGGTGGGGGAGAATGGATGAGGGAGATTGGGTGGGGGAGAATGGGTGGGGAGAATTGTTGGAGAATGAGTGAGGGAAAGTGGGTGGGGAGATTGGGTGAGGGAGATTGGAAGGGGAGATTGGGGGGGAGAATGGGTGGGGGAGAATGAGTGAGGGAAATTGGGTGGGGAGATTGGGTGGGGAGAATGGGTGAGGGAGATTAGGTGGGGGAGAATGGGTGAGGGAGATTGGGTGGGGGAGAATGGGTGAGGGAGATTGGGTGGGGGAGAATTGTTGGGGGAGAATGAGTGAGGGAAATGGGTGGGGAGATTGGGTGGGGGAGAATGAGAACGAGATTGGGTGGGGGAAAATGCGTGAACAGGATGATTGGGGGAGATTGGGTGGGGGAGATAATGGGGTGGGGAGAATAGGTGAGGGAAGATTGGGTGGGGGGAATGGGTGGGGGAGATTGGGTGGGGAGAATAAGTGGGGGGTAAGTGGGGGAGATTTGGTTGGCGGAGAAAGGTGAGGGATATTAGGGATGGGGGCAGAAGGAAGGCCAAGGTAATCACTGCTTCTGCCTCCCCCTTCTCACCCTCCCAGGAGCCTTCGAGTGGAATTCCCCGACTTTGCCCGAGTCCTGGCTCATTTCCGACCTGTAGATGATGAGGACACAGGAACCCGGGACCCCATGCAACCCGAACCCCTCAACAGCAGAATGAACAAACTTCGCTGTGAGTTGGTAGGGTCCCCCTAAGTGAGACCCCAGATTTTCCACACCCGTGAGGGCCCCAGGCACCCTCCACTCCCTTTGTGAGCCCTTACGACCTCCCTGCCCCTCCCTGCCCCTCTGGACCAGAACCGAGGGAAACCCACCTTCCTCTCCCTCCCCATTCTTCCCAGTTGCTTTTCAGCTCTACGACCTGGATGGAGATGGAAAGATCTCCAGGCACGAGATGCTACAGGTGGGGAGGGCACAAGAGCAGAGATGTGGCGTGCACGGGGTGGGGTTGGGGGGGTTGAATGGCATGGTGGTGGGGGATGGTTTGGGGGTGTGGCCTGGGCAATGGGAATGGGTGGGGTTGGAGTGAGGGTTAGTTGAGAGATGGGGAAGCAGTGGGAATGAGGTTGGGAATAGATCAGTGGTTCAGCTGGGGGTGATTCTGCCCCCTGAATGACATCGCCCATATCTGGAGACATTTTGGTTATCACAGCTGGGGAGGGGGTGGTGGGGCTGGCACCTAGAGGGTGGAGGTCAGGAATGCTGCTAAACATTCCACTACAAAGGACAGCCCCTCCTCTCCAGCAAGAAGCTATCTGGCCCCAAACGGCAATGGAGATTGAAAAACTGGGATCCAGGTAGTGAAGTGGGGGTTTGGGACTGGCTGGAGGATGAGGTGGAGGCTGGGGTGGAGGCTGGGTTCTGAGGCTGCAGTTGAGAATGGGCTGGGCATATTGTTGAGTTGAGTGAGGGGTAGTGAGGGCTTACACTGAGGAGCAGTAGGGGAAACTATTGGTGGATGTGATGGGAAGGGGTGAACAAAGGAAGAGTGGGTTATGAAATCGTTAATACTTTGTAACTTTTGGGGCGACATGGACAAGGTTGGGGGAGGGTGCTAGTAGTCCCTGTGCCTCCTCTTTATGGCCGTCTCTTCCTCCTCCCAGGTGCTCCGTCTAATGGTTGGGGTGCAGGTGACGGAAGAGCAGCTGGAAAGCATTACTGACCGCACGGTGCAAGAGGCCGATGAAGATGGGGATGGGGCTGTGTCCTTCCTGGAGTTCACCAAGGTCAGAACGGGGCCTGAGGACTTGGAAGGATGAGTTCCCAGGACAGATGGACAGGGAAATGGAGCCTGGAGGAGGAGGGCAGAAAGAGAGGGGTTCCCTGGGGGCCGTGAGGTGGGAGAGGAAGTTGGAAGACTAGAGGGCTGAAGTTCAAGTTCTCTTAACTGCACCCATCCCCACCAGTCCCTGGAGAAGATGAACATCGAGCAGAAGATGAGCATCCGGATCCTGAAGTGACCTTTGTGCGTGAGGCCAGCTTGAAAAGACCAGTTCTGCCCAGTGTTCATTCTCAGCCCGCACGGAGGGAGGGGCTCCAATAAACCCTTCTTCTACACTGAACTCTCTTTAGGCTCCAGGCAACAGCGCTGGATGGGCGTGCACTAACGTCCAACTCACTTGATGTCAGGCCTATAAATCAGCCAACAACATTTTGGACGCCAGTGACTGAAATCCCAAATCAAAGGGACTTCAGTTAAAAGGGGTGCGGTGGCTCAGATAACAGTCTGAAAGTGTCCTCAGGCAGAGCTGAGCTGAGAGCTCAGAGGATGCTGTCTGCCTTAGTTTTCTCCATTTCTCTCATTTGTGTGTATGTTGGCTTCATTCTAGAAGGGTCTGGCCACCAGCGGCTCCTCAGTAGTCCAGTGGGAACAGGTTTTCTTTTTAAAGATTTCTAGCAAAGAGTGTCATCAGCTCCCTGGGGCCTGGTCCCTTCTCCAGGAGAATGGAACGTTCTGATTGGCCAGACCTGTGTCATGTGCTACCTGTTGGAGGGAGGAAATGTAGGTGCTGAGGACTCAGGTGGGGTAAGGGATGGTTGCTTAGAGGACAACGAAGTGCTAGTAGCTCTTGTCTGTGCTGGTCAGACAACAAGAGCTATCCATCACCGTGAAGTTGACCATGAGGTCTTCTTGGTCCCATGGGTGCGTGCTGCTGTGATTTGGGTGAGGGGAGGAGAGAGATAATACATTATAAATAAGACATACCTTTCTATGCTATGAAATCGAACTTTTTGAGAGTAAATCCTTGGGGATGTTTAAATTGACATATCACAAAAGGAGTGTGAAAGTCACATAAAATTGTAAGATTCTAGGTCTGTAGCAAAGCACGTGGCCGTAGCTCTGGGAGATGCTGGTTGTCCTGGCCACGCCCTCGCTCAGGTCTGTGCTGGGATTGTCTTGTATCAACACGTGAGAGCCACCTGTGCTCATCTCGCCCCAACTCTGCCTTGGGTAATGTCGCCCCGCACCGGGGAACTGGCTGTGGGGAACGCACACGCTGCAGACATTGGCCAAGGCAACAGGCAGGGCTTTGCGGTCTAGGAGAGCCCGTGGTTAGCACTCCAGCAAGGCTTCACCTGCCAGCGCTCCCGACCCCAGCTTTCGTGAGCTCTAATTGGTATGCGACACCACATGCACACAATTTGATGAGTTTGGACATAATCAAGGTTTTACATAGTCATCTCCCAAAATTTATCCCTTTGTTTTTTAGTTTTTTGCGTGTGTTTTTTTTTTTTTTTAATTTATGTGGTAAGAACACTCACCATGAGGCCTACCTGCTTAAATTTTTAAGTGCACAGAACCTTAATGGGCCTGGGCATACTGGAGGAGAATGTGGAACAGCAGAGCTCTGGAGCTTGCCGTGTGTAACTAACTATATCCATTGAACAGCGGTTTTCTATGTCCCCCGCGCCACGCCCTGGTAACCACCATTCTGTTTACTTCTATAGCTTTGGCTGTTACAGGCCTTATATAACAAGCCATCCGAAAACGCTGTGGCTGCCTTATCTCACTCAGCACAATGCCTCCAGGTCCCCCCACTTTGTCACGAAGGGTAGGATTTCCTCTTTTTGTTTTTGTAATCCTCACGAGGATACTTTTCCATTGATTTTTGGAGAAAGTGGGAGGGAAAGAGAAAGACTGAGAGAAACATCTATGTGAGAGAGGCACGTTGATTGGTTGCCTCCCACACGTGCCCTGACCAGGGTGGAGATCGAGCCTGCAACTGAGGTACATGCCCTTGATTGGAATCGAATCTGGGACCCTTCAGTCCTCGGGCTGATGCTCTAGCCACGGAGCCAAGCATACACTGGAATAGAAGGCGCCACATGCTTCTGTGGATGAACATTTGAGTTGTTCCCATGTCCTGGCTGCTGAGGATGAGGCTGCTGTGAACATGGGGTGCAGTGTCTTTGAGACCCTGATTTCATTATCCTGCTGGATCATATGGTAGTTCTATTTTATTTTGTTTTATGTTATGTTATGTTAATCCTCACCCAATGATATTTTTGCATTGATTTTTAGAGAGAGTGAAATGGAGGAGGGAGAGAGAAAGAGAGAGAGAGACAGCGATGTAAGAGATCCATTACTTGCCACTGGCAAGGGCCCCCAACCAGAGACAGGATAGAGCCTGCAACCGAGTTACTTGCCCTTGACTGGAATTGATCCGGGACCCTTCAGTCCGCAGTCCGCAGTCCGACACTCCATCCACTGAGCCAAAGCAGCCAAGGCTATTGTAATTTTTTGAGGATCCTCCTGGCTTCTCCCCACAAGCATGGTGACACTGCACAAGGGCCTTGCTGGCCAAGCGTGCATGCTGCTGTGTGAAGGGCGGGTTGGAGCACCCGGGAGCTACTGACCCTTGGAGCAGGCCCCAGCCAATGGCAGGTAGAAATTGTGGTTAATACTGTCTCTTACCCTCAGAAGGGGCAACTTACAGGCACAGAAACCCCCAGCAGGCAGGGCCTCGTTTGCCCCAGTGCTACGCTGCTTGTGAGAGCCCCGGGCTGGCCCCCTGGTCCTGTCTCCCTCCCACCAGTGCTTCTGGGTCACTTCACCAGTACTCGGCTCTCAGCGCCTTGTCTCCGCACTCTGGACAAAGCCCACCTCAGACGGAGTGCACTTTCCAGAATGGGGCACACACTGCCCGTGCTGTGGATGCTGTGAGAGGGCTGTGGGAGCGTCTGCCTCCTGGCATTTCCTGACGTTGGGAGTCTGAGGTCACAGGTCACTGTGCAGCCTGGGCCTCTGGTACTGTCGGGTGGGCATTGACCATCCCAACGCTAGCATTCCCATTGCAGTGTGATTCTGACAGAGGACTCTCCTAGTTGAGGGAGGAAGCAGAGAGGGTGTTTGATTGCTGAGGGAATTGTGTGGTTTTGGTTAGGACTGTCACCTGAACACAGACTTTGTGATTGAGGGTGTTTAGTCAGTCTCTGGGCCTATTAAAGGGGGGGGATGGGAGGGATAAAACTCAGAGTGGCTCTTGTTTCCAGGCAATGTGGGGAAGATTTGTATATAAAGAGAAATAGAGGAGCGAGATGATAGATGGTGGCTGACTTTCTTTATAACTGGTCTGTTTTCCCCATTATAGTGTTTCTCAAATTTTGTTGATGGTAAATAAAATACTCAGACCCTTGGCCCCTTTTGCTCTTTTTGAGAGCTCCTGGAGTCTCCAGAAAAATCTGTCTATCTATCTATCTATCTATCTATCTATCTATCTATCTATCTATCATCTATTCATTTATTTATTTATGTTTGTAAGAGAACAGTTATTTGGTAACTCACGGAGGTAGAAGTAATTCCTAGATGAAATGGGCTTAGGAAGCAATTTATAGCGGTAAAGAACAGGGCGGGAGCCGGAGTGAGGAAGGTGATGGAAGGTGCCTGGGGGGAATGGGGGGGGGGCAGGGGAAGGAAATGGGGAAGGCACAGGTGTTCTCCTAGGAGGGAGAGCACACAGGTCTTCCCTCCTATGGGTTTTAGAAGTGAAGATTGTAGGGGAGGTCCCTGGGGAAGATCTCACTAAGACAGCCAGCAGTTTCCAGGGGTGTCCTTTCTCCGTTGTGGTCTCCACCAACTGGCCGGCACCAGGGCAGGGGCTTGTTATTCACGCAGCTGGTCCTGGAGCTGAACTAACACCTGAGGCCTGGATGTTACCTGCAGGGAGGGGTCCAAACCACATGACCCTTGATAAGCGAGGGGAGGAAGAGCCACCTGGGGACGAGGCCCAAACCCTAAAATTGATTGTCCTGTTGCTTGGCACCTGGGGCTGTCCACCTGGTGACCCCAGTACCTGGTCTGTGTCCTTGCTGTGCTCATGTCTGTCTAACTGCCTGCAGTATCCCCCTCCAGACCTTGCCTCTGAATTCTTCTGAGAAAAGGGGCACAGGGACTCTTCTGTAGCTGCTTCCTGCTGAAAAGGGGTGATGTTTTATCTCAGAGCCCAGAGACCCTCGCTCTCCGTCAGGGTGTCTAGAGGTGGTACTTCCTGAGTCTGACTAGGACTTGTAAGCTGGTGGAGACAAACACTGTTATAAATCATATTGGGGCAGCCCTAGCTGGTTTGGTTCAGTGGATAGAGCGTGGGCCTGTGGACAGAAGGCTCCTGGGTTTGATTCTAGTCCAGGGCACATGTCTTGGTTGCAGCCTCCTCCCAGCCTGGGTAATACTTCTGTCTTTCCTCTCTCTAAAAAAAAAAATCAATAAAAACATTATTAAAAATACCTATTGGGGCAAAAGCTAGAATGACAAGAATTAGAAAAAATGGTCCAGTGGAAGGAAAAAAAACATTTAGTTCTCACTAATTCCAAGACAAAGAATTGGAGAAAAATTAAGCATTAGTTTGGAGGGTTGTAGTCAAATATTTAAGAACACTAGAAAAATTCAGGATCCAATGCAACTCATAGGTGAAAAATAAAACTCTGAAGACAACTGATCGAAGTAGAGGCTAAAAGTGATAGCTGTAGTTTAGAGTCTATTGAAACACGTTTCCTCCCTAAAACCACTGTCATTTTTATTGGAGTCAAATTAAGAGCAATGTATTTACTGTATTAAGTTTAGTTTCAATTTGGCCTGTCATTTATATAACTTCCTTCTAACATTTCTCTTTACAAACCTACAACATTCACAAACCTTTCTACAACTTTCCCAACTCTCTTTACTCATTCAGAAACAACCAACTTTAAAACAATTCACTTTCTTTTCCCTTCAAAATATATTCCATATCTTATAATCCTATTACCAAAACCATACAATTTCTTTCCAACTTAATTTGAACTCTAAACTATTAGAAACCTCAAGTTCCAATAATAAACAAAAAAGCAAACAACCAGCATTTCTTAGATGGACTTTATGAAGACATTTTAGACACACTTTCAGTTTGAAGAAACATAACTTGAGCAAAGCAGGAGACATAATTGCTGGGTCGTTGAAAGGAATGCAGGAGGTCGGAAGTATTGTAGTAAGGGGTTGCAAACCAGGTCCTCTGGAAAGCCAGATGGGCTGAGCCCCCAAATGGTGGGGTGGGGAGTCAGAGATTTTAAAGGACTCTAGGCAGGCTTT